TTGCAAAAACATTACCTAGAAATCCCAACCCCCCCAGCTCCCGGCACCTCGCCTCCCCAACTCTACGCTTGCCTCATAACTCAGGCGGTCACTGTTCGGGTCCCTGTGGAATCTGTCCCTGGAGCTGCTGCTTTGGTGATCTAAGTCATCCACACCCATCAGCATCACACCTCCATGACCTGCCATTTGTGGGGTGATGGCCACAAATAATGGGGTCCAAGTTTCTTCAGGGGGAGCTACTGGTGATTACAGCTAAGTTCTGTCCTAACCAGTGTCCTTCCTAGCCCTCATGGGCGCAGTGAGACTGACAGGCATAGGGAGAGGCTCCTTTGCATACGGCAGCCCAAGGCGAGGAGATGGATATGTGTGTGAGATGGTTTCCAGGCCGCTTGTCAAAATAAACCCAGTATCACCCCTTCCATGTGCTCAACTCAAATTTTGCTAAGATGAAGGCTTCTGTCCCTAATCTGTGACCAGGGATGCTGTGTTATAGTTGTTTGCTTACATATCTCTCTCCACCACTGGACTGAGAGCTCCATGAAGGCGAGGCCTGAGTTTCCTCCTCTTTGGGTTGCTAGAGCCTGGCTCAGGGCCCAGGACATAGTAGGTGCTCAGTGAATATTGGTTGAATCAATGAATCAATGAATGAATGTCTTTCCCCATCTCTTGACTGGGGTATGGGAAGGGTAGCTGATGCTCTTCAGCGTCCTGGGCCTGCCCTCGGGGATCAGCACCCTGTCACCTGCCCATACCCCGACAGTCCACACTCCATAATCCCTCTCTCAAGCTGTCACATTCCAAAGCCTGCCTTTCCTTCTTAACTTCTTTCCTTCCACAGAGTGAGAAAGAGGAGGGTGTGTGTGGCCTCTGACAGGGGCAGGCAGACCAGCCACTGACCACCCACCCCCACCCACTGCCTCTCTGAGTCTATTTCCTTCTCTGTGAAATGGCCCAGAAGGACTCTGATGGTTTGGATAGTCTGTGGTTTGCTGAAGCAAGTGCCTCTGATTACCCCCAAGGACTCCTGTCAGTCCTCCTCCCTACAAGATTACCCCTTGCCGCCAGAGTGTGCTGATGTGAAGATTGTCACACAGCCCCTGAATGGGAACCAGGGAGGGGATGGGAGAGGCAGCATCTGCTCTCGGACCCTTCCAGTTAACAGTGCACCCAAGGCCCTGAGGACAGAATGAGCAGCCTGTTGTCAGCCCCGGGGCCTTCACCCTTGGGATACGCAGGGTGAGCTTCCAGCCCAGGGCTGAAGGCTCACCAACCCCAGGGCTGAGGCTGTGCCCCCCAAGCAAGGGAAAGGATGTGGTAGGACAGCTCCCTTCACCTGCCTGTTACCCCAAGCCTCACAGCACCCCCAGCTTGACTGCCATCCTCCCCTTCTTCCTCTCACTGTCTTGTCCAGGCTTCTTTTCAGTCTGCACAGCAACTCAGAGCCTGATTTCAGAGGCACACACTTGAGCTCAAATGCAGACTTTGCTCCTTGTTGGCTGTGCGGCAAGTGAGTGAACTCTGAAACTCAGTCTCCTGGTGATAATGAGGGTGATGATCATATCCACCTCCTCATGCTGGGGGGATTAAATGAAATCATTCACATAGAGTGTTTAGACCAGTACCGGGCACATACTAGGTTCTCAGGAAATGTGAGTGTTATTATCACTATTTACATGGGACCTCCTGGCTGCCACCCCAAAGCATCTACTTGGCTGTGCGGCCCTGTGTCAGTTATTGGGCCTCTCTGAGGATCTGAGCTCCTTCTCTGGAACGTGGCAATAATAGTGTCTTCCTTCTAGGGTTTTGAGGAGGATTAGATGAGGTAGTAATTATAAATATGGTGATGATAAGATGCATCACTGAAACCAGGGAATTCTGAGAGTGAAAGGGGAAGCCGTTAATAAACACGCTAGGGCAATGGGCTTCCACCAGGATGAATGTCTCCCTATTCATCGGGCACACAGCCTGATGCTGGGTCCACAGTGATGAGCTCTACAGACAGGGATTTTTACATCATCACCTCCTTTCCCTGCATCTCCCCCATCCCTTCGGTCCTCCCCTCCCCAATTCCTACATACATGGGGTTTCATGTTATTCTCCCCTCTTTGCCTCTCACTTAAGTGACTGCATGGCCCCAACAGCCTCCAAGTGTTTTTCAGCTCATCCTGTTCAATCCTTCCCATCACTATGGAGAAACTGAGGTTCAGAGAGGGGAAGGGGCTTTTCCGAATGTCATCATGTCATTTTCCCTGCTCAAGCACCAGGGAATTTACAACCATCATGTTGGCATTCACGGTCCTTGACAGTCTGGCCTTGCCCATCACTCCTGGCCCTCCGACCTCCTCCCCTTCTCCCCAGCTCACTTGCTCACCAGCTGGCCTCAGAGTTCCACCTAAGAAAGAGAAGGGTCTATGTGCAGAACATTGCCTCCCGCCCACTCAGCTCTTCACCCTCCCACCCGCAGGGCCAGCTCATAGCTCATCCGTCTTCCTCCTCCTGCCCTTGGGTGATACCAGAGAACTGAGTGATACAATCCTCCTGAGTTCTTTGTCCCAGCCCAGTAGGGTTGAGCCCCAGAAGCTCTGCTGAAGCCAGTAGCATCTCCCAGACTGTGGACTGAGCCTAATTGGTTTTTAATGGGCCCCATTATGACCCGATGTTCAGTATGCATCATGGGCACCTGAGCTCCATGGCTAAATGATTAATCGGGGAGTTGCCTGGGGCTTTCCTGGGGCCACCATCCCATCTCCCTTTCCTTCCTGGTCTTGTTGGAAGCTGCTGGCCTCTCTCTCACCAGGAGGCAGTGACTCATCAACTCCAACCCAACATCCCAGCCAGAGCCAGCCTCACACAGAGTACTCCACTCAATTCTTGGACTCTCTGAGCTGAAAGATGATTGTAATTTAATCATGGCAAAAGGATCTCATCTCCTTTGCCAACCCTGAACAACTGGTACTTGAAGAAATGTGTTAAGCATTCCAGGGCCACATCCAGGCTCTGGGGTCAACGAGGAATGTCCACCATGGATGGAATGAGGGAAGGGGGATAGGGGGAGCTCCAGGAGGACGAATACACTTTCCATCTGATGTCTCAGTTATTCGAGCACAGAGCACATAGTAGGCATGGCCTACTGCTCAGGACCCAGAATACCCAGGGAATTAAATCCTATCTAACACATAATCTGTTCACATAGGCATGGCAAATCCAATGCTGACATTTCACAAAAGGAGAAACAGAGCTTCAGAGAGAGGAATGGTCACCCAGCAAGTTAGTTACAGATCTAACAATGGGCATCATCAACTTTTTCCCTTCCTCAGCAATTAACCTTGACACTGTCAAGTTTAAGTCTGATAGATTATCAAATGCCTAGGGAAGAGGGATCATCCAGGTGAGCCTTGAAAAGCAGATCTTGAAGGAACAAAGGCAGTCGATCTCCTGTGTACCCAGGCCACCAGGGAGGCAACACCAGCTGTGGAAACAGGCAGTCTGGGCTGTGAGCTGGGGTTGGCAAGGCCTGGTTTTTAGGAGAACAGACCTATCTTAGGAGCCTGAAGGGCAGAGCCTGTTCAGTAATGCTATTAACTACCAGGAAGAAATATGAAGAGGAAGCTAGACTTTGACGAGGAAATTAAAATACCTGCCTTTGAAAGTAAAAAAAAAAATAGTTGACACACTGGGGTAGGTTGCGGGTGGGGAGGCTGAGAAGGGAAAACACTGGGAGAAACGCCTGACGTAGGCGACGGGAGGGACGGAGACTGCAAACCACCATGGCATGTGTGTACTTACACAGCAACCCTGCGGGATGTGCACATGTACCCCAGAGCTTAAAGCACAATAAAAACAAATAGTTGATTCATAAGGCTGTCACATAATGCCGAACAATTAAAACTGGAGGCACAGACTCAGAAACGCCCCTTGAATACCTGTCAGTGTAGGAGCCCTGGTTCTGCTGACCTGCTCATTACTGGACCCCAGCATCTAACTGACAAGTTCTTGCGGAGGGAATTTGCTGCTCGCTGTATTGAGGTTGTGGGAGATACATTTTCTTTCTTTATTTTTTTTGAGACAGGGTATCACTCTGTTGCCCAGGCTGGAGTGCAGTGGCATGATCTTGGCTCACTGTAACCTCGACATCCTACGCTCAAGCTGTCTTCCTACCTCAGCCTCCCAAATAGCTGAGATTTCAGGTGCCCACCACCATGCCCAGCTAATTTTTGTATTTTCTTTTGTAGAGACAGGGTTTTGCCATATTGCCCAGGCTTGTCTCCAACTCCTGAGCTCAAGAAATCCACCCACCTCAGCCTCCCAAAGTGCTGTGATTAGAGGCGCGAGCCACCATGCATGACTCCCATTTTCTGTGGTTTACAAGTCCCCACTTGAGAAGTGCGGTGAGGAAACTGCACACACGGCCTCACCAACTCCTCACAGCAGGCCTGTGAGATAATCTGCATTATAATCCCCATTGCACAGATCAGAAAACAGAGGTACCGAGGGCAAATTTTCTTCCTCAAGGTCATGTACCTCTTTTCACCTCAGCCAGAGCTGCTCTTGCCCTGGAGTGCTTGGGGTGGGAATCAGGCGAGGATGCAGCCTATGGGCCCTCTCACTTCTTCCCACCCAGGCCACAGTCCCCAACTATGCCCAGAAATGTCTCTGGGTCCATGGAATGTGCATGGAGTGTGAGAAGATTTTATTTCTTCTGCCCCTGCCTTCCTGTGCCCGCCTCCTTCCGTCCTGCGAGGCACAGGGGTGAGACCTGGCCCCAGCCTAGGAGGCAGTGCTTGAGCCAGCCTCTGCCATGGACTTGCTGGGTGGTCTAGGGCTGGCTTTTTTCATCCTGGGCCTCAGGAGCACACATGAAGAGTTCATGTGTTCATGGGGGACTGTCCTCCTATAAAATCCTGACAATCGATGATCACACATCATCCCACAGATCCCTGTTTCTTGAAGCCCCTCTCATGAATCCTGGACCCCTAAAGCCCCAGGCTCTGCCCACTCACCTGCCATGCGATGGCCAGCTGGACTCCCCTCTTCCTCCACACAGTGGTGTGTGCAGTGTCAGGACGGTGTGGTGTGTCACAGCAGCCAGCCAGACCAATTTTAACAAGGAAAACCTCGGGACACTCCTAGGCAGCAAAGTCAGAATTCAAAAGAGGAGGCGTGGCCCTCCACCCCAGCAGTGACAGCCATGAGACACAGAATCACCTGGTAATTGCTCTGGCGTGCACCTAGAGGGGTTTACCATGGGAGTGGCTCCGGCCAAGAGACCTTGGAAATGTGGAGTTGGGAGCGGGACTGTGGAGAAACTGAGGCTCAGAAAGATCATAAGGCTGGCAAGAAACAGAACGGGGAAGGAGAGGGAGAGTGGGAGGGAACTAGGATTTATGGTTGGCCATTTTTATCCCTCACAACAGCCCTCAGATGAGAAAACGGAGGCTCAGCGTGAGGACCCCAAGGTACACGGTTATATCCTGCAGAGCTAGGTCAGTCTGGGCTCCCTTTCCCCTCCTGGGTGAGACCAGGAGATTCCTGGGTGCACAGCTCCTCTCTGTTCTGCAGGCATCTAAAGAGGCAGAGGTCCACAATCCTCCTTCAGGGCCGCTAGGCTCCCTTAGTGGACACCGGACTCTTGAGAGGAGGCAGACAAGAAAAAGAGGAGGGCTGGCTCTGGCTCACAGGCTAGGCCCACCTGCCCTGACTTTGTGAGTGGCCTTCAGCCAGGAGCTTCGAGACCTGGTCGCCATGGGTGTCCCATGACCTTGGGCAAGACCCCTCCCCTCCTGGAACCTTGGTGTTTCTACCTATAAGCTAAAGGGACTGGACTCAATTATTCTTCAGGGCCATTCCAGCTCAAAGTCTAAGATTCTGGGCTTGAAGATGCTGGAATTCGAGGCATCTAAAGTCTTTTGTGTAATGAAATAGCGGGGATTTTATTTTCACGGGAGCTGGTGGGGTAGATTTCTTTTTGTGGAGAAATGCTTTAATGGACTACTTGGGGCTATCGGAGGCTGGATGTGGCCTGGGCCAGTGAGAAATGGGAAGGGGGAGGGGTAAAATCGAGGGAAAGATGACAAGGAGGGGCAAGGAGACGACTGTGCTGAGTGCAGTGTGATGACACCATGCCATGGGATCAACCCAGCATTCAGAAAACTGCGTAAAAACCCCAAAGTGTTTGATATGGTTGGATTTCTTACAGAAAGTGGCAAAGAAGCTGAGTTCTGCTTGCTGGTTTCACACAGATCAAGCATCTTTAATGGGCTGTCTGCAGGCCCACGTAGCCTTATAATTACTGACATCTGGCACCAGGCCAGGGCAGCTCCTTCCTCAACACCCTACAGACTGTGCCCTGCAGACCCTGGGCCCTGCTGAAGCTGCTTTTCTGCCTGTGCAGGGTCAGGCTCCTCCCCACTAATGATGGTCTTATTCGGGGCCCTTTTATCTTTCATCCTGGGTTTGCCTGGACGGGAGCTCCCAGAGCACAGGGCATCAAAATCACTGCCCTTTCCTCCCCGAGACCCCAAATAATGATTCGTGCTGTTTTTGTTGTTGTTGTTTTGTTTTTGAGACAAGAGTCTCACTCTGTCACACAGGCTGGAGTGCAGTGGCACAATCTCAGCTCACTGCAACCTCTGCCTCCCGGGTTCAAACGATTCTCCTGCCTCAGCCTCCCAAGTAGCTGGGACTACAGGCATGTGCACCACGCCCAGCTAATATTTTTTGAATTTGAAGTAGAGACAGTGTTTCGCCCTGTTAGCCAGTTTGGTCTCAAACTCCTGACCTCAGGTGATCTGCCCACCTTGGCCTCCCAAAGTGCTGAGATTACAAGTGTGAGCCACCACACCCAGCCTGTAATCGGTTTAAAGGTGAGCATCATAGCCTGGTATTAGAGTCCTGGGTTCTGTTATCTCTGGGCCAAACTGACTGTGTGACCTTCAGCAGGTCACTTACCTTCTCTGGGCCTTAATGCCTTCATCTGTAAAATAAGGGTGTGAACTAGGTGTTACCAGTCCCAACATTCTCTGATTCTGATGATCAGCCTAGAAATGACAGGAGCCAAAGCCTTCGGCAGTTCAGGGCACTCCAATGCCAGGCATAGAGTGGGTGCTTCACAAATTAAAATCTGTGCCTAGGGAATAATCAGATGCTTTAGAAGCAGCTTAATTGTTCTTCTGGCTATAAAGACAATATAAACTCAGGTACAAAATTCAAGCAATACAGGGAAAGAAGAAAGCATACGTGCATGTGGCTGTATACACATGGCAATACATTTACATGAATCGCATCATAGATAGAAACTGTTTTGTAACCTGTCCTTTTTGCTTGATCAATTATGGTGCTCCCTCTTCAAATCACAGTATATAGCTCTGCATTGTCATTATTAATGTCATCTCTTGTGTGAATTTACATAATTTACTGACCCTTCTTAAATTGATAGGAATTCATTTCTTGCCCTTATAAAGAAATGTAATTTTTTACATGTATTTTTGTGTGCTTCTATGATGGGACAATTTCTGCAAAGTGGAATTGTTGAGGCGAACCCGCTCTTCAAGGCAGCAACTCCACGTGCAGAAATTTGTCTGGCAGATGGATCCAGAAGTGTGGAAAGATTTAAGTACAAGGATATTTATTGCAACATTGGTTATAACAGAAAGAGTGAAAACTCTCCTGTCTTCATTAGTGAGATAAATTATGATCTATCCATGTAATCAAATACTATATTGCTATTTAAAAAGAGGAGGCAGATTGATACATGTTGATATTAAGGTCTCCTAGGTACATTGCTAAGTTAAAAACAAAAAGTAAGCTGAAAAAAAAAAGAAGTGGTAGAAACGAGAAGTCAGGGAGAAACCTAATTTTCGAACTCATAGAAATGTTCGACTGTGGGTATATACTACCTTTCAAAAACATTATTATTCTTTTTCAAATAGCAAGCCAGGTGTGGTGGTGCACACCTGTAGTCCCAGCTGCTTGGGAGGCTGAGGTGGGAAGATACGGTGAGCCCAGTTTGGGTCCAGCCTGGGCAACATAGCAAGACTCTGTCCCTAAAAACAAATAAACAAGCAAAAGTACGGCATATTTTGCCAAATTTCCCTCTAGACACATACATATTCTCAAAGCACCATTTTCATTCTGTGGCATTCCTGGTTCCAAAGGCCTTGTGGCTTTTCACTGTCAACAAGGTCCGAGGTTCAAACTCTTTATGGTGGCCTTCAACACCTTTTGCAATACAATCTTTGTTTTTTTTTTGAGGTGGAGTTTTGCTCTTGACCCCAGGCTGGAGTACAATGGCATGATCTCGGCTCACTGCAACCTCTGCTTTCCTGATTCAAATGATTCTCCTGCCTCAGCCTCCCGAGTAGCTGGGATTACAGGCATGTGCCATCATACCCAGCTAAATTTTGTATTTTTAGTAGAGACGCAGTTTCACCATGTTGGGCAGGCTGGTCTCAAACTCCTGACCTAAAATGATCCGCCTGCCTCGGCCTCTCAAAGTCCTGGGATTACAGGCTGAGCCACTGCGCTCAGCCAGCAATACAATCTTAATTTGTCCCAAGTCTCTTTGTTTCTCTGCATGAATACTTGGCCTCGCACAGGCTCAGCAGCACCCGTCACAATATCCCCAACCCCACCATGGCTTGAAGATGCTCAACAAGTTACTTCCAGAAATCATGTTTTTCTATCCTATGTGCTCAAGTAGGAGACCACAGCCAACAGTCAGATGCATGAATCTGGAGTTTAGCGGGTGCCTGGCATGTGGTAGATGCTCAATGTATGAATGTTTAGATGGGTTACCTGCATTTAGATGGTTGCCTAAGATCTTGGCTCTGGAGTCAAACTGCCTCGGTCAAATTTCAGCTTCATCACTTAGTTCCCTGCTGGCAAATAAGTTAACCTATCTGGGCCTCAGTTTTCTTATGTGCAATGCGGGGATAAAAGTGGTGGCTTCTCATAGGGTTGTTGTAAAAATTAAATGTGAGTATGTGTAAAGCACTTAGAACACTGCTGGGCACACAGCCAGCAAGTGTGAGTTGGAACTATTTTTACTTTCTTTTTATTTTCTCTGTTGCTTTACTTCTCTATACAAACCTCTATTATCTTTAAAGTTAGTGGAAAAAAATAAGAATTTCTCATTCATTTTGCTCCTTTTTCCTGTCCTAAAAACTGAATTCCAGCTCCGTGTTCCTCCAGGAAGCCTGACTGCCATAGTCTCCAGGGGTCTTGCCTGCTTGGAGTTCCTGGGCACGTCCGTCATCCGTCCATCTGTCTGTCTGTCCATCTGCGCACTGCACACTGCAGTGGCTTGTTTACTTCTCACCTCAGCCTCCTGGATGAGGACGTCTTGAGGGAATCAGGTATCTCCGTCCTCCCATATACTCCCCAGCACCAAGCCCTAAATCCGACGAAGAGGAGGTCATGCTAAAGCACCCTGTCCTTTGAGGAGGGTTTCAGAGAAATAAGGGCCTCTTGGTGGGGAGTGAGGATGGAAGCGAGGCTTTCTCCAGGGAGCCAAGCAGCAGAGGCCTGGGCAGGGCCCCTCCTCTTTGATCAATGACGAGTTATTCACATGCTTCAGACACCAGTACTACCAAGGATAATAAATCTGACATTATTTCACTTAAAAAAAAAAAAAACACCAGGAAACTGTGAGTACCAAACAATCTTTTCTTGTAGACACGGTCTTGTTCTGTCTCCCAGGCCGGAGTGCAGTGGTGCGATCTTGGCTCACTGCAACCTCTGTTTCCCGGGTTTGAGTGAGTTGATTCTCTCGCCTCAGCCTCCTGAGTAGCTGGGATTACAGGAGTGCACCACCACATCCAGCTAATTTTTTGTATTTTTAGTAGAGACGGCGTTTCGCTTTGTTGGCCAGGTTGGTCTCAAACTCCTGGCCTCATGTGATCTGCCCAAAGTGCTGGGATGACAGGCTTGAGCCACCGTGCCTGGCCTGCATTTTAAAATGTATTTTAACATTTAAAAAAAATCAAAAGAATCACCTTGGGAAAATAAGAATTGTGTTGCGTTCACTTAATCTCAAGTTTACTTTTGTTTAAATTATATGGCTTGGGAGGGCATC